TAAAATATCACTGCATCTCAAAAAAGAGAAATCTCTGACGTTCTGAACCAACTAGATTCTACACGCTGTACAATCAAACATGCATGTCGGTAAATTTATTAGCATAGGCTTGAATTTTTATCCCATTATTAAAAAAATGTCGGTAAAGTTATTCAATAACTATTCCCGTTTGATATATTTGCCTATTTCTATCTCATCACCCTGGTAAGTCATTTATTCAAGATAATACCAATTTATAGTTTTCTACTTCCCGGGCTCCTTATGATGAGTTGATGACAATCAACATTGGCATGTAAAATAGTCTTTATTAGCGGTCTCTCTTTATCGTCATGTAAGTATATTTGGTGACGTGGAAGAGAGAGGAAGAAGGAAAGAGAAAGATGGTTGCTACGCATGACAACGGCATATAGTCGACTCTTAGCATTTATTAGAAATTTTTTGTTGCATTGAGTCTAATAAAGGAAAGATGACTAGTAAGAAAGTATTTTGGTACATTAATGGTTAGAGACCGTACTATCTTAACTATTGTAACGTGATAGCCTCTAATTAATGTAGAGACCACACCGGTCTCTACCTTTGTACTTGCCCTCAGTCCCTCACTTACTTGTGGTTTTCCGAAAAATCATGCATAAATTAAGCTAGCATCCAACGGATTTGCTAACTGGTATGCGACAGAAATTTAGGGATAAAATCTTACATGTTTTGGATCGTCAAATTCGCACCAAGATTTGTGCCTGAGCTCCTTCTCCTATAACTCCGGCGCCGGTGACGCCCAGCCCAACTCGATCCAGCTGATTAATACACAGTTCTTCACAACCAAACGGAAGAAATTCGCCACCATCTGCTCTTCCCAAGTTTCTTTGGAGCTCTCGCGTCGTCCTCCCCTAGGGGCGGCACGGGAGGCGGCGACCCGGCCGCCCCTCTCCCTCCCCTCCTCCCCCTCTGCTTCGCCGCCGCCCGAGCGGCCGCCGGCAAAGCCGGCCGGCCGCAAGGACGGCGGCGGCGGGGCCTCTCGCGTCCTCTCTTCCGGGCGGGCAGGGGGCCGTCCTAGGCGGAGCGGCGGTGACCACCAGATCCAGCCCGCTCCGGCCGGATCTGGCGGGGTAGCGACTAGCGGCGGCGAGGGTGGGGGCAACGGCGGCGGGGAGGGCGACGGCGATGTCAAGGGCGCGTGACGCTGGGCGGTGGTGGCTGAAGGCGGCGGGGATGGCGATGGCGGCGGGGATGGAGTTGGCCGATGGCACGGAGGCGGCGGCCTGGTGCTCTCGTGGCGGCGACGGCACGTTACTTGGTGGCGACGGCGGCGGTACCCCCCAGATCCGCGCCTCTCGGCCGGAGCTGCAGGGTGGCGGCAGTTGGCGACGGCGGCGGCAGTTTGGCCAGCGGCAGTTTGGTCGGCGGCAGTGGGCGACGACGACGACGACGGCCGGCGGCAGTTGGCGACGACGATGACGACGGCCGGCGGTAGTTGGCGACGACAAGGACGACGGCCGGCGGTAGTTGGCGACGGTCTCGGCCGGATCTAGATACCGGCGGTAGTTGGTGACGACGGCGGCTGTGTGGTGTCGGCGGCGGCGGCGGCAGTGGGCAGGCGGAAACGTGGTGGCTGCCGTGTCAACTGGCAACGGTGGTGGAAGCCATGGCGTTGAGCTGTTAGCTGCTCGGTGGTGGAGGGCGACGGTGCAGCAAAGGTTTTGCGGAGGCGGTGGTGATGTCGGCGGCGGGGAAGGAGTCGGGTGCGAGGTGGGGATGATGACGGCGAGGTGGTTGGGTGTTCGGCAGCAGCGGCTGTGGTGGTGGTGACCGTGTTCGCGGTCACCGGAGGCATAGCGGCCTCGGTTGACTAGCCGAGGGCGTGGGAGACGGCCGCATCTGGTCGGCGCGGCACCGTTCGGTGGAGGGGTCGGAGACCGGCTTGGCACAGAGAAGTGCAGCCGATGGCAGTGGAGGCCGGCTCGGCGCGAGAGGCACGGGCGGCGGAGATGGAGGCCGGCTTGGCGCGGGAGGCGCGGCCGATGGAGGGAGGCCGGATTGGCGCGAGAGGCGCGTCCAGTAGAGGAGGCCGGCTTAGCGCAGAGAGGCGCGGCCGGCGGTGGAGGAGGCGACCTAGGTGTGAGGAGGAGCTGCCGGTGGGTGTGGCGCGGTCTTCGGCGCACGAAGGCTGGCCGGCGGGGGACGCCGGTGCAAGGGTCCCACATGTCGGCAAAGCTTGTGTGGTGGTGGAGCATCGGTGCATCAGTCGTGGTTTCGCAAGGGCGATCTCGTCTGTGCCCTTTGTTGATCTAGTGGCGGTCGGTCACGCTTAGCGGCGGCCAATCCGGTGCTAGCCTTCTCCTGGTCGTGTGTGTTGGCGATGTCGGCGTGTGGGTGGTGGTATATTTTTTCCTTTTCCTAGTTACGACTCTCTCCAGGGTTGTAATCTTATAATTTTTTCCTGCTCTATCAATAGAACTTCGCACCGTCTCGTGCGAGTCGTTCAAAAAAAACAACCAAACGGAAAGAAGGATTTCGACAAATTTGCTAATTAAGGCTGTTGAGCCTTAATTAGCTGTTAGAACATTCAGGGATTCATCGTTAGGCATATTTTGGTGTTGATCTTTATATAGAAATACATATAAATGTGATTAAAAAGACACACTACAAGTTGTTATAAATGTGATATTTATATAGAAATACATATAAATTCCTTAGACTCTGTTTGGAATTAGTGCTGGCTTTTTTTTTCTGAAAGTAGTGCTCGGTTGTCATTGGTTGGATAATCCCCCGTCCAAAAATATAACAACTTTTAGCACTCAGGTTTTATCCTAAAATATAACAACTTCTCCACTAACATTCTCTTACCAACCAATCTCAATCCTCCCACCATTCACTTTTCACACCAACCAAATTCAAAAAATGCATATTGAATTTTAATTTTTTTTGACAAAATTTGATCGGAATTTACCAGGAGGCAGTGGTCGTTTTTGGCTCGGAACCGGTTAATTTGATGAACCCTGAACATAACTCTAGTAAGATACAGTATATACTTGCCAAAGGAGCTAGCTGAGCCACAGGGTCGCCATCTCAAAGGAAGAAAAATTAGGTCAAATGTCTAAGTAGTTATAAGAGCTAACAAAAATGTGATGCTGTCGAATTAATCTAATGACGTACAAATGGTCTTCTAGGTACACATTTGGCGGTGACGGAGAGGCTGTAGGAGAGCTAGCACTCCACAAAGGCACAATGCCAATTTATTTCCCATCCCTTTCCTTGTGTCGATGCCTATCTTTACTCAATTTAATTCGCATTAATTGGAATTGTCATGTAAAATCATGTATTGCAAGTGCTTTTAAGAGCTTCCGCTCTTTTCTATAATTTCTAAGATATCGACTTAGACTTTGATACATATATATGTTTGATCGATCATTGTCTTTTCTTATCATATATCCATAAAAATAAAAAATATATAACTACCTAAAAGTATTGTTATGTCCAAATTTGCTTATTTTCACATATGAAATCTTAATTTTTTTTTCTCTGAGCTGGTTTTGTTAGACTTGGCCACAATAACGTGGGGATAACATATCTTAAATTAATTTACATAGACTATGATGACCCAGTTGGCACATTTGAGGAAAGGCAATCAATGATATTCACTAAATGAGATGCAAGATTTATTGGGCATGCATTATTTGTCTTGCTAGTACATAGTAGCAGAGGCCCTATTTACATGTATATATAAATAAATAGGAGAAAATCAGAAAAGGATTATGTGTTGAAAATTTGAAGATTTTTCTTAAGACATTAAGTCCATTTCAAAGTAGAATTAAGTTGCTTTTGGGAAATCAGCACCATCTATAATCTATTTTTTTATTGGTGTGGGGAATGGTAGGTGTATGACTCCACCTATCAAGTACCAAGTTTTAGATCCATGTGTTCAGAAATATGGTTGTGTACACTTTTTGACGTAGGAGTCACAAGTTATACTTCCATTGTAAAAAAAAAAATGTTTGTTCCACATATCAATAGGAGGAAAAAAGTTACAGTATATTTTTATGGAATTGGGCTGTGATGTTTGTTATTAGAGATGTAGTTATATATACTCTATCGAAGTGCATCAAATAGTTGATGTTTTGTTATTATCCAGGCCAAACAAATATATATTGTTCAACCTCTTTTAAACAAAGAAATACTAGCAAGTCAATGGAAGTGATACACTATGCAAATTTTAACGTTTCATATACAGCTCCATGAAAGTATTTGGATAATGAATTATAGTAATTAATTGGCATTTCATCCTACAAAAAAATATGTTTTTTTTTAAAAAATACAAATGGAAATTATTAAAGATTGTTATTAGCCCACACAACCTCGAATTTGGTGCTAAGTATAGTTGCTAACAAGACAAAGTTTAATAAAATCGATGTACATATATTATATAAGTAGAGAAATTAAATACTACCTACAGCATGCATGTGATTTTCATTATTAAATCGAATCAAATAAATGCATGATAGCTCTATTTTTATTCTAATTGAATAAAAAGATCATTTGATTTTCATTATTTATGCTTTGTCTGATAATATAATTTAGGTTAAATTAAAAGGTGCCACAAACACACAAGCATTCATAGAAAAATTAACCGGCCGGTGCAACATGATGCCCGGATCTCAAGATTTAAATACACGTAATTTAAACGAGTATGATTTCTTATGAATATTAACTAGCTCTCAAACGAGTTTAAACTAAATTTGAGCTTAAAAATGCCTTTTTTTAAAAAAATCTTATGTGATAATGGAATAATTAAAATAAAGTTGAGTTTAAGTTTGTTTTGTTGTTATGTATATTTATACCGATTCACTTAAAAAACATTGGTTAAAAGCCTTAAGGCATAGTATTTAAAAAAATGCAGGAATTTCATTGGAAATATGTCATTTCCAACAGAATTCGGGAAGAACTCACTTTCCAAGCTACTACTCATCAGAGCGGCAACACTCGCTAGATTTTTCTCAGAAAATTAATTAGGGGAAACAAGACACGATGTATAGTAAAATTAATAAACTGTAACATCTATACACATATATATCTTTTAAAAAGATGTACATTTATGTCTTTATTTATCCACTCAGGACTAACTAATCACAAGTCACAGGCCTACCATTAGTATAAATTAACTTACATATGATCAGTTCCAAACCCTAGCATCATCAGAGAGACTAATTAACTAAAAACCTACAAAAGAAAGGATTAATTAACCAAGCTAGATCAACACCTGCAAACTCGATTTAAATCACCGAGAATTAACTCGAAGCCCTTTTAATTAGCTTTGATTAGTTGCATCTTGATTAATTAACTCGGCAACTTTCCATTATTTTTTTTTGTTCTTGCTGTCTACTTGATTAATTTAATTTTGGTTGTACTACACTTAAAAGAACTCACTGGGGTCCCCCAATGGCACCACGTCCATGAGCCCCATGCCGCCGTCGTCGAGCAGCCAGCTCTCCAGCATCGAGAACGCCGGCGCGGGGCCGCCGGCGCCGCCGCCGGTGGCCATCTTGCTCGTCTCCGTCGAGCACTCCGGCGTCTGGGCAGTCGCCGCGGCGGCGGCGCCGCTCTGGCTCGCCGACGCGGACGCGGATGCCGCGCCCTCGCCGGAGCACTGCGGCTGCTGCTGCGTCGTCGCCGTCGTGGAGGTCGACCCCGACGCCTCGGGGCCCTTGCCGTTGCCGCCGCCGCCGCCGCCCGGGCGCATCCAGCCCTGCAGCAGCCGCGCGATGTTGTCCGCGCTCGACGCGTACGCCGCCGACGACCCCGCTGGCGTCGCCGCCGCCGCCGCCGTCGCCGGCGACGGGTCGGGGTGGTCGAGCGAGAGCGCGTCGCGCAGCGCCTGCCGCGCCGTGTGGATGTCCGTCTGCAGCCGCCGCTCCCACTGCCCCTTAGGTGCGGCGGCCTTCACGCTTTTCCCGCCGCCGTCGCCGTCGCCGCGGCCGCCGCCACCCTCCGAGGCGGCGCCGCTGTCTTCCCCACCTCCGGCGGCCTGCATCTTCTTGAGCTTCTTCTTGAGGTGCGTGTTCCAGTAGTTCTTGATGTCGTTGTCCGTCCTCTCCGGCAAGTACGACGCTATCGCTGCCCACCTACACAGCCAGCAACCCACTCATCAGCCATGGACGCCATGGACAAATCAATCAAAGCAAACCATGAAAAACCAAGAAGAAATCACCGGTTGCCGAGGAGAGCCTGGAGGTGGACGATGAGCTTCTCCTCCTGCTCGGTGAAGTTCCCCCGCTTGATCCCCGGCCTGAGGTAGTTCGTCCACCGGAGCCGGCAGCTCTTGCTGCAACGCATCAGCCCTGCACACGCGACGCGCACAGATGAAAACAAAAATCTCGGATCTCTCGCCGATCGATCGATCAAGAACGCAAGAACACGCACCGGTGTTCGTCGGCACGGCGCGCCAGTTGCCGGCGCCGTGCTCCTGGATGTAGGAGACCAGCATCAGGTCCTCCTCCGGCGTCCATGGCCCCTTCTTCACCCCGACCTTGTCGCAGCACGGCGGCCTCCCCATCCTGCAGCTCGCCGGCGGCGGGCGGCGGTGGTTGGTGGTGTATGCGTGTCACTACTACTCGATCTCGATCAGGGAGGAGACGAGGGGAGACCGGGGTCCAAGAAGAAGAAGAAGAAGATGGGGGTAAAAGGGGAGGGGGCGAGGTATATATATAAAGCTAGCTAGTAGCTAGCTCGCCATGGCCGATAGATGGCAAGCTCGAGCTACAGCTGCTGCTGTTGCTGTGAACTGTGAAGTGTCACTGCTAGCTGCAGTTTGTGCTCGGGTTTGACCTAGGTAGAAAGCTGAGCTAATAACATATAACGATGGATGAACTGCGGCGAAATGACATGTTACATGTACACATGGTGACAAGAACGCAGATATATACTAGTATGGCGTAATAAGGCGAAAACGAAATATTGTTTTTTTATTAAGGCCCTTTTTAGTTTCAAAGTTTTTTTTTCTAAACTTCTAACTTTCCATCACATCAAACATTTCATACACACAACTTTTCTATAACATCGTACCAATTTCAATCAAACTTTCAAACTTCAGTGTGAACTAAACACAACCCTGTTTATTTTATTTTGTTTTGCTTGCTGGCGCAAGATAGATATGCTTTTTTAAAAAAAACAAAGTACAAACACATACACTTGTATTGCGCACGCATCCGCGCACCTATCTCAATGAGCATCTCCGAAAGACAAAACTAGTATATCTTGAGACTGGCGAAGTTATCATGAGCGTCTCGCTGTCAACGGGTACGTGACCTATTACTGAAGGAACAATTAGCCGTAAATGCAAACATTCATATCAAGTTTAGAACTTAAATCCAAGCGGTTAGTTTCACCACAAGGATCATAATTAGTTGAGTTACGCTCATTTCGTGTGTGTCGTCATTTTAGTTTGCTCTTAAATATTAATGAATTCATTTAAAGTGGTATAGTAGATTTGATTTAGTTGTGTGGGGCTGTTGAATTTTATAAGCAGAAAAATGCAAAAATAAATAAATAAATCTTCTCATATGTAATTTTCCTACCTAGACATTTTGGCCACGCCATTGGTGACGTGTCTAAACAGGACAATGCTGCCACACTGGAAAGAAAAACAAACTTTGGGGTTGGCAGCCTCTCGTTGCCATGCCGTTGCTAATGGCATGACAAAAGGTTGAACTATTGGGAATTAAGATGCAAGAAAGCTTGTATGTATTCTTTTAGGAAAATATTTAAATATTTTTAATATCATCTGTCTGTTGTGATTGAATTTTAAAATAATAACCGTATGCATCATTTCTCATGAAATCGTATATATATTTAATTTGTGGTGTCTTGTCGTCACACAAATAATAATTATGGCTTTCCGGTGAACATAAAGATAGTAAATATGCTATCTTGCTTTCAAGTATTTGTTTTTAGGGTTAATTGGTCCATGCCATTACAAATATGCCAAATTAGAAAAATATTATTACTATTCGTGATATCAGCTAAGTGCCACTGAAATTTTATAAAATTAAAATCATATCATCGCCGTTAAATTTACTGTCAACTCCATCGATTTTAATCTCGTTCTCCTCCCTCTCTCTCTCTTACTGCCGCTCTCTCTTCTCCACTCTCTGTGCGAGGCTGAGGCCGAAGAGGTGGTCACCGCAACGCTGGCTCTGGTCGAGGTAGAGCTCATCAAGGGGAAGCCAACGGTGGTGGCCATAGGATCTAGGGATGCCCTGAACGACACATACCAGCGTCCGAAGCTCATGGCAAAAATGGAGAGAGAACTCGGAGGAACTATGAGGTGCAGGACCTTGGAAATGACCAGTGGAAGGGAGGGGAGGAGGTTGATGCCACTTTATTGGTAGGAGGAAGGAGGGGAATGACCGTGGGGAGCTCGGCCGGCCATGGAGGAGGCGAAATGGCCGAAGTTCAATGGAGATAGAAACCGGTGATTTAGGTGGTATTTGAATCCAGGGACTAAACTTTAGTTCCTATTACATCGGATATTTGGACACTAATTTGAAGTATTAAATATAGACTACTTACAAAACTAATTACATAAATGAGAGCTAATTCGTGAGACAAATTTTTTAAGCCTAATTAATCCATAATTAGAGAATACTTACTGTAGCATCACATAGGCTAATCATGGATTAATTAGGCTCAATAGATTCGTCTCATGAATTAGTCCAAGGTTATGAAAAAATGGGTTTGTCAGTAGTCTACGTTTATTACTTCTAATTAATGCCCAAACATCCGATGTGAAAGGAACTAAAATTTTTTATAGCTCCATCCAAACACCCCCTTAGTGCGGTATTGAATGGAGATTCATGGGGGAAATAAAAAGAAGGGAATGGGGAATCGATTTTTGTAATTACTAGGAAATGAAATTGTGTGGGGAGGTGGATTAACTTGTTGGTGGGGCTATGGTTTTGGCCGGGAGAGATGAATGGCTGAGCTGAGGTGAAAGACGACGACGTGTCACCTCCCTAGGTTGGAACTTATGGTGGGTCCCACATGTAAGGGTATTTTGGTCAATATGATGATAGAAAATGTGACGGCGATGGTATGGTTTTAATTTTACAAAATTTTAGTGGCACCCAACCAATATCGCTAATAGTAATGTTATTTTTCTAATTTTGCACATTTATAATGGTATGGATCAAATTTAATCTACTCTTGTTTTTACCTTGTCTTGTGGATGTCATGGTTGAAATCCAACCAAACCTTGTCCTCTGCCAAAATCTTGTGTCCCTCTTATTTCTCTCAAGGGAAAAATGGAAGAAAAAAACGAATGCGTGGGAGACGGCAGTGTGAAAATGGCTAAAACATAAAACAAATTTAATTTTAACTTACTTTTCTTCCTTACCTTTCTTAAATCATGTGGTTTAGATTTATTGTTCCCCCGAGAGCCTGAGACATGCATGTATTTGTTCTTTCTTCTCGTTTGATCTCCTTTACATCTGTAAAAGTTCAGGGTTTCTTCAAGAACATAAGAATCTTAATTATAACACGAATTTTGTAGGAATTAGTTCAATTCCTACAAATTTTCTTCAACATGTCCTTCATCCAAAAGAAGCCCTTGAGGCCACACTAGCACACCAATGGACAACATATTGACCGTGTATTTGTATCTCCAATAAGATTAGGTGGTGTTTGGATGCAGGGACGAAACTTTAGTCCCTGTCACATCGGATGCTTGGACACTAATTTGGAGTATTAAACATAGACTACTTACAAAACTAATTGCATAAATGAGAGCTAATTCGCGAGACAAATTTTTTAAACCTAATTAATCCATAATTACCATATGTTACTGTAGCATCACATAGGCTAATCATGTATTAATTAGGCTCAATAGATTCGTCTCGCAAATTAGTCCAGAGTTATGGAATGGATTTTATCATTAGTCTATATTTAATACTTGTAATTAGTATCCCAACATCCGATACTGGATCCAAATTTAGTGTAGGTGTTTCTTACACCCCAAACTCAAGTCTTTTCAGTTTTTTTAGCAAGGGCTTGGCAGCCCCTATTTCTATTGCCAGAAATGTGACAAGCTACAGAGTTCCAACTCAAATCTTTTCATGTCATCTCATCTTACATGGCAGAAAATTAAGAGGTGCACTCACACTAGGATTTAATTTAGTTAACCCACAACAACCTAGCTTACTATCCTAATTAACACGATGTTGACGACCCAAACATTGTTTAGCATAACTCATAGTACAAGGTTCCAGAAATAGATTTTCTGGGCAAATAGCTAGTACAACAGTGAACAGAGATTGTCAAACAATTAACAAGAATTGTCAACAAGCCATGTTTTCACAAGAATACACAACAGTAAAATCTTGTGTGCAGATGCGCCAAACACGTGGTACTATTATCTTTTTGGCAGTGAGTAGGGAGTTCTTCAAAGGAGGACAGCAAGGGTGCATTTAATCGGATGGGGGCTCGCTAAAGTCAGCTTGATTGGAGTGAACTGATCTGCGTGCATTTATTTCCTGAGCCCCCCTCATCATCATCGTCCCCGGCCCACACACCTTTTTTTTTCCCTCCTTAAACTCACTTTTTCTGCACCATCTTATTAGAGCAGGTATAATAGTGGGCTATAAGCCAGCTGCAAATATATTTTAAGAAGATAAATGATGAGAGAGAAGGGCAGCGGGCTACAGATTTGTAGCCAGCTATAGCACGGACTCTAAGACGCTGTGTGTGTATGACTGGTGGGACCAGATATTAATAGTATAGTATGTAACTATTGTATGAATGAGCTATTAGATTGTCTATAGATAAATTGGAGCTAGTAGTTGGCTATACTATTGAACTTGCTCTTAGTAGTATTAAGGTTTTTAAACGGGTCAAATGTGAATTCAATAGTTTCAAAATGAATGCAGCATCCGAACATGGCATGTTTGGTTGCTGCTACAATTTACCATCATTTGTTAGCAAAATTGTCAACTTGTCTAAGGGTATATTTGGGGGAGCTACTCCCCCAAAGAGTTTAAATTTCACTCACATTCTAAGAATCTAGTTGTAGAATCTAAAAAATGAACTAGAACCCAGAAACTGAAAAACCCCTTCTTCAGATTCTCAGAAGCTGGTTACTAACCAGCAGATTCTTAAAATCTTAAACTCACCCAAACAGAACCAAAGGTTATGTGCGTAAATTCTTTGCCAAACTTAATTAGCAAGGCTAAAAGAATATCTCCACATTTTTTTAAGTCATTCACAAATGGAACCTAATTTGTTGGTTGGAAATATTATCGTAATTGTGGCTACAACGGAACAATTATCTGAGTTAAACAATCTTAAACGTGATAAATTATGGTAAGTGTGTTGTGTCTGACAACTAAAACATGTCAATAGCGTGGACATGATCTTTGAAACTATTCATACAGCTCGGATGTCATACTAAGCAAACAGATAAAAATTACCAGCTCGCCATCACTTTAGAATAGTGACAATGATCTAAATGTTTAATCTATGACTGATAAGTCATGGAAAAATAAACTAAGTAACCAAAATAATTTATGGACAAATCTTCCATTGTATACGGACTACTTTGCAATACATGATTCTAAAAATATACGAAAGTAGAAAAATACGGAAATATGATGTCATGTTTTACACAATGATCTTAGGCAACCATGTTTCAGTAGCAAATAATAAAACAATAAATGGACTTTTAGGGGAATTTCATACCTTTCACTCCTCCTCTTTCTTCTTTAGCTAGAAAATAATAAAATAATGAACGTGGTGTCTAATAGCAAATAACCATGTTTTGATGGTGTCTTTTTTTTTCTAAATATTGACTTCTATCGTATCCACCAACAAAATTTACCTTAATCTTA